GAGGTGGAAGCAGGCCCCTAGGAGAAGCCATGGCTGCGGTGATGACATTCTTAGGACACCTTTGGATTTAATTGTGAAAAGAAAGCGTAACATCTGAGCAGCTCCTTCCGTTGGCTGTCAGCAGTAAAGTGAACAGCTCGGGTTCTGTGTATCTGTGTGAAAAGTTTGTGTGAGGGGTTTTTTTAATAGCTTTTTTTTCTGTTGGCAGCTGAGCTCCCAAAATGGTGCGTTACTCTTTGGACCCGGAGAACCCCACGAAATGTGAGTCGTGTTTTGGCGTGAACGTTCACCCTGGACTTGACCAAAGCCGTTGAGGTTTTTATTCCAAAAGTTGTGTTTTTCTCTCTGCAGCGTGCAAGTCACGGGGCTCCAACCTGCGGGTGCATTTTAAGGTATGCAGTAGGACACAAATTAATTAACCAGTCTCAAAAGTCATGGGAGTTCTTCCAGGGGATAGAAAACAAAGCAAAAAAATTAAAAATATCGTGGTTAATTATCTTAAATGAGTTTTGTAGCAAAAAAAAAAAAAAGCAGGATCCAGGAATGGGAGAGGAATGGGTTTGCTCTTGTTGTAGCTTGGATGTTTTAGGAGGAACTTTGTTGTGTGTTGCCAGAACACCCGAGAGACCGCCCAGGCCATCAAGGGCATGCACATCCGCAAGGCCACCAAGTACCTGAAGGATGTTACCCTGAAGAAACAGTGTGTGCCCTTCCGTCGCTACAACGGCGGCGTCGGGAGGTGTGCCCAGGTGAGGCCCCAGAGGAGAGGACCTGGTGTGGAAAGGAGAAGGGTGACTTTGAGGAGGAGTTGAGGTGCACCAGGGTGAAAGGGGACTCGTTTCTCCTTCCTTCCCTTCTCCCCTCTTCCAGGCCAAGCAGTGGGGCTGGACGCAGGGCCGGTGGCCCAAGAAAAGTGCTGAGTTCTTGCTGCACATGCTGAAGAACGCCGAGAGCAACGCTGAGCTCAAGGTGGGCTGTGGAGGTGGCATGGAGGGCAGAGGGGTGGTGTCAGGGCTCCTGAAAAGGAGTCCAGAGAGTGGGTGAGGCCAGGTGGGTGGGTCAGACTGGATTCTGTAGAGGCTTCTGGTTTAGGGCTCGTTTGAATGAGGCCTTGTGCTTTTTCCAAGTGAAAAGATGAGTGATGGGCATAGAATCACAGGCTGGTTTGGGTTGGGAGGGACCTTTCAAGGGCATCCAGTCCAACCCCCTGCAGGGAGCAGGGACATCTGCAGCTAGAACAGGTTGCTCAGAGCCCTGGCCAACCTCACCTGGAATGGTTCCAGGGATGAGGCATTCACCACGGAACCACAAGCTGGTAGGGGTTGAAAGGGACCTCTGGAGATCATCTCATCCAGCCTCCCTGTTCCAGGCAGGTCACCCACAGCAGGATGCCCAGGATGGCAGCCAGATGGGTTTGGGATCTCTCCAGTGGAGGCTCCACAGCCTTTCTGGGCAGCCTGCTCTGGGTTTGGGCACCCAAACAGGAAAAGTTTCTCCTCCTGCTCGGGTGGAACCTCCTGGGTTCCAGCTGGTGCCCGTTGCCCCTTGTCCTGTTGCTGTGCAACACTGCAGAGTCTGGCCCCACCACCTCTGGGCAACCTGGGTCATGGTCTCACCACCCTCAGCATAAAACCATTCTTCCTTCTCTCCAGTCTAAATCTCCCTCTTTAGGTTTCAAACCATCAGCCCTCATCCTGTTGCTACATGCCCTAACAAAAGAGTCCTTCCCCATCTTCTAGACCCCTTAAAGTCCTGAAAGGCCACCAGAAGGTCACCCTGGAGCCTTCTTTCCAGGCTGAAGACCCCCAACTCTCTCAACCTGCCCTTCCAGCCTTGAAATCATTTTTGTGACCCTAATTTTTTACAGGTCGCTGGTTTGTTACCAGCTCTCCCCTAAGCTGGGTCTCAAAGTCTACAAAACAAAACGGGGGGACTCCAGGTCAAGTTGTATCTTGGACTTCATTCCATGACTTTGATGGCGGTGATGACCTATCTTAGGACACCTTTGGAACAACCATGAAATAATTCAGTTTTTCTGAGCCATCAGTGTCCTCAATTTGCTGTGAGAGGTAGAAGAGTGGTCCCTGTCCTTCTGACTTGACCTGGTGTGTTGCCTTCACCCCACTCCCAGGGTCTGGATGTGGATTCTCTGGTCATCGAGCACATCCAGGTGAACAAGGCTCCCAAAATGCGGAGGCGCACGTACCGAGCGCACGGCAGGATCAACCCCTACATGAGCTCCCCCTGCCACATCGAGATGATCCTCACCGAGAAGGAGCAGATCGTGCCCAAGCCCGAGGAGGAGGTGGCTCAAAAGAAAAAGGTACCAAGAAGCGTCTCCCCCCACGGTCACCTCACGGCCAGGTGGAGAGGTCGAGGGTTGGGCAGGTAGAGGGGTTGCTGTGATGACCATCTTAGGACACCTTTGGAACAGCCGTGAAAGGAAAGATGTTTCTGAGCAACCTCTGTTGTAAAGGCAAGATGGAGAACCTAGGAAAGGGTTTCTCCAGGGTTTGTGTTGGAGTGGTGGCTGGTTCTTCTCTAAAGCAGTCATAGAAATGATTTTGGGGGAAGTGACCTTTAAGATTGAATCCAACCCTTCCCCCATCCCTGC